ATTTTCTGTGTGGATTATTTGTCTATTGGTGTAAGTGAGGTGTTAAAGTCCCCCACTATTGTATTACTGTCGATTTCCTCTTTTATAGCTCTTAGTGGTTGCCTTATGTATTGAGGTGCTCCTGTGTTGGGTGCATATATATTTATAATTGTTATATCTTTTTCTTGGATTGAACCCTTGGTCATTATGTAGTGTCCTTCTTTGTCTCTTGTAATAGTCTTTATTTTAAAGTCTATTTTGTCTGATATGAGTATTGCTACTCCAGCTTTCTTTTGATTTCCATTTGCATGGAATATCTTTTTCCATCCCCTCACTTTCAGTCTGTATGTGTTCCTAGGTCTGAAATGGGTCTCTTGTAGACAGCATATATATGGGTCTTGTTTTTGTATCCATTCAGCAAGCCTGTGTCTTTTGGCTGGAGCATTTAATCCATTCACGTTTAAGGTAATTATTGGTATGTATGTTCCTATTACCGTTTTCTTAATTGTTTTGGGTTTGTTTTTATAGGTCCTTTTCTTCTCTTGTGTTTCCCACTTAGAGAATTTCCTTTACCATTTGTTGTAGAGCTGGTTTGGTGGTGCTGAATTCTCTTAGCTTTTGCTTGTCTGTAAAGCTTTTGATTTCTTCATCGAATCTGAATGAGATCCTTGCCCGGTAGAGTAATCTTACTTGTAGGTTCTTCCCTTTCATCACTTTAAATATATTGTGCCACTCCCTTCTGGCCTGTAGAGTTTCTGCTGAGAAATCAGCTGTTAACCTTATGGGAGTTCCCTTGTATGTTATTTGTCATTTTTCCCTTGCTGGTTTTAATAATTTTTCTTTGTCTTTAATTTTTGTCCATTTGATTACTATGTGTCTCAGCGTGTTTCTCCTTGGGTCTATCCTGCCTGGGACTCTCTGTGCTTCCTGGACTTGGGTGGCTTTTTTCTTTCCCATGTTAGGGAAGTTTTCAACTATAATCTCTTCAAATATTTTCTCGGGTCCTTTCTCTCTCTCTTCTCCTTCTGTGACCCCTATAATGCAAATGTTGATGCATTTAATGTTGTCCCAGAGGTCTCTTAGGCTGTCTTCATTTCTTTTCATTATTTTTTCTTTATTCTGTTCCATGGCAGTGATTTCCACCATTCTGTCATCCCAGTCACTTATCCATTCATCTGCCTCAGTTATTCTGCTATTGATTCCTTCCAGTGTATTTTTCATTTCAGTGATTGTATTGTTATCTCTGTTTGTTCTTTATTTCTTCTAGATCTTTGTTAAACATTTCTTGCATCTTCTTGATCTTTGCCTCCACTCTTTTTCCAAGGTCCTGGATCATCTTCACTGTCATTATTCTGAATTCTTTTTCTGGAAGATTGCCTATCTCCACTTCATTTAGTTGTTTTTCTGGGGTTTTATCTTGTTCCTTCATCTGGTACATAGTACTCTGCCTTTTGATTTTCTGTGAATGTGGTTTTCATTCCACAGGCTGCAGGATTGTAGTTCTTCTTGCTTCTGCTGTCTGCCCTCTGGTGGATGAGGCTATCTAAGAGGCTTGCGCAAGCTTCCTGATAGGAGGGACTGGTGGTGGGTAGAGCTGGGTGTTGCTCTGGTGGGCAGAGCTCAGTAAAACTTTAATCCACTTGTCTGCTGATGGTTGGGGCTGAGTTCCCTCCCTGTTGGTTGTTTGGCCTGAGGTGACCCAACACTGGAGCCTACAGGCTCTTTTGTGGGACTAATGGTGGACTCCAGGGCGCCCTTCCCAGAACTTCTGCTGCCAGTGTCCTTGTCCTCACAGTGAACCACAGCTGCCCCACCACCTCTGCTGGAGACCTTCCAACACTAGCAGGTAGGTCTGTTTCAGTCTCCTGTGGGGTCACTGCTCCTTCCCCCTGGGTCCTGGTATGCACAGTACTTTGTGTGTGCCCTCCAAGAGTGAGGTCTCTTTTTCCCCAGTCCTGTCGAAGTCCTGCAATCAAATCCCACTAGCCTTTAAAGTCTGATTCTCTGGGAATTCCTCCTCCCATTGCCAGACCCCCAGGTTGGGAAGCCTGACATGGGGCTCAGAACCTTTATTCCAGTGGATGGACTTCTGTGGTATAATTGTTCTCCAGTTTGTGAGTCACCCACCCAGCGGTTATGGGATTTGATTTTATTGTGATTGCACCCCTCCTGCCATCTCACTGCGGCTTCTCCTTTGTCTTTGGATGTGGGGTATCTTTTTGATGAGTTCCAGTGTCTTCCTGTCGATGATTGTTCAGCAATTAGTTGTGAATCCGGTGCTCTCACAAGAGCACCTTCTACTCTGCCATCTTGAACCAATTCCTACCAGATTACTTTTCAAGAGATCTTTAAAAATTTCTTACACCATCCTCCCTCATTTATGATTATGGTGTCCTACTTCCAGGAGAAGAGAGTTAAATTTCTTTGTGTCCCTTTTTCTTTTAACCCCCAGGTGATCTTGCTACAAATAATTGAGGGTATCCCTTACCCTGCCCCTGAACTATGAGAGGTTTTGTTGTTACTTAATTATAAGGCAACTTATTCTTTTTCTAGAATAATTTTGAGTGAAAGGCTTCATCTCTTGTATTTGAGCACACCTATCGCCTGTATATAAACTCAGCAGTTGGGGCTGCAGGCGGATGACTGTCCTTGCTTAATTACACATTTGTATACAAATACTTGACTACTTCATCATGAGAAACGAGAGCCCCTCACACCCTGCACAGGACAAGGGAAGAAGTTCAGGGTAAGTCAGAGTTTCTCAGCTCTGGCTGCTTGTTGCAGTCACCTGGAGAACTTTGAAAAATACTGATGCCCAGTGCATCCTCCAGGGATACTGATTGATTGGTCTGGGACATCAAGACCTTTCAACGCTCTCCAGGTAATCCCATGCAGCAGATCCCAACCTGAAGCCACTCCCTCCGAGATGCCCTCCAGGTGGAAGTCACGTTGCTATGACGTTTGTCCCATGTTCCAGGTCTCCAGTTGGTGGGAACCTCCTCATGTGACGTCATTCTTCCACTGCAGCATCCCTCAAATTTCCAAATGCTCCAGTACCAACTCCTGAGGTCTGGGGTGGAACCCAGAAATGTGCGTTTATCATGCACAAAGGATTCTCAAGGCTGTGAGCAGCCCTTGATGGATTTATCCAGAGGATGGATATGGAGCCAGGCACACAGCCTTGCCTGTCATGGAGAGCCCATTCTGGTTTGAACACGCCAGGACTCTCAAGGGGGGTGGGGGGGTTGGCAGCGGAGGCGATGGGGCACTTGTGGTTTTCCTACCTCTTTCGTGATTTGAAAAGACTGGGCCCCATCAGAGCACCATGCCCTCTGAGCTCTTTATCCTTCTAAAGTGAAAAAAAATGTGATCCTGCTTGTTAGACTAGAAGGCAGGGAATTCACCTGAGATGCAAAAGCCCCTTTGGGAGCACAGTTGATGGCCACTTATCATGGATGAAGGGATCCACGCTGAGCCTGTGCAGGGTAACCCCTCACAGACCCCCAGGGAAGGCGCTTCCTCCAGCACAGGCCATGGTCAGACCCAAGGGGAGGAGAGAGGGAGGCACATAATCCAGATGGCACCTGGCATCCTCACCACATGTGGCATTCAGAGGAAAGGCCCTGCTCCCCTCTCTCTACCCTGAGGTGCCAGTGTTAACTCCAGCTGGGCTACTACACCTGTGGTCTTTGCTTTATTAAAGTTTTGCAGAGTGCTCTCAGAACCCTGTAAATCATGGGTTGTGAGCATGTGTGCTGGGGGACCCCAGGTGGAGAGAGTACACATGTGGACCTCTGGCTGGGAGGAGACCAACTTAATGGAAAGATGGTTCCAACGGCTCCCTGGAAAACAAGCAAGGGCCAAGGGGCTAGCAAGCAGGATGGGGGAGTGGTGCTGGATACCTGGCAGGTTCCCTGTCAAACACTTTAAAGGAGCCCGAAGAGGAATGGAAAGAAGAGCAGGAGACAGAACACATAGTAAAGTCTTAAAAGGCCACTCACTGGGAATGCAGGAGGGTCTGCTGAACTAAATACATTGGTTTGGTTTTAGCACACCCACATCTTCAAATGCTGGAAATGCCAACTAGGGATTGGGTGTCTAAATTAAAACTGTTAGCCCCACTATTAGTCCATGAGTCCGTTATGCAAGAAAGGTTGCACCTCTTCATTTTCTCTAACTTTACTTAATTCTGACCCCCAACCCTCCAGGCTTGTGGAAATTCAGCCCCATCATTATTGGGCTCCTCTCCACACCCAGGGCTGGACAAAGGCCCGGGAGCCTCATTTGGCACAAAGTGCCAGGGAGATCCCTGTGGCCATCAGGTCCAGTCCCTCCTGGGTGTCAGCAAGCCACCCTGCTCACTGGAGAATTTCAAAACCCAGATGGTTCTCTGCTTGGAACAGGCATGAGAGGGTGGGAGGTGAAATGCAACCAGCATAAACTAATATCTCAACAATTGTGTCTTAGCTCAGGCTGCTGTAACAAAATACCACAGGCTGGGTGGCTTAAACAACAAGACATTTATTTCTCACAGTTCTGGAGGCTGAGAAGTTTGAGGTCAAGGTGCTGGCATATTTGGTTCTTGATGAGGGACAACTTCCTGGCTTGCAGATGGCTGACTTGTCATGTGTCCTCATGTGGTGGAGGGAGAGAACTCTGATCTCTCTTCTTATAAGGACACTAATCTCATCATGGGGGCCCCGCCCTCATGACCTCATTTAAACCCAATAACCTCCCAAAGGACCTACCTTCAAATGCCATCCCACTGGGGGTTAGGGCTTCAACATGTAAATGTTGGGGAGACACAAACATGCAGTCCCTAACATCTTGAAACAGGTTTCCATCAGGCAGCTGGTATGCAGCCAAGCCCTCTTGTCTTGCAATTATTTCTAGCACGTAGGAATGACATGCAGGGGCCTGACCCAAGGGTGCTATGATGTGAGGCCATTGTCAAAGCCCCTCAGCCCGGGTTGGGCCCCTAGCTCAGCTGTCCCCAGCTTAGCTCTCCCTGTCTCTGGCAGTGCTCGTCGACCTGTGGGAAGGGCCTGCAGTCCCGTGTGGTGCAGTGCATGCACAAAGTCACTGGGCGCCATGGCAATGAGTGCCCTACCCTCTCCAAGCCAGCAGCCTACAAACAGTGCCACCAAGAAGTCTGCAATGACAAGATCAACGTGAACACCATCACTTCCCCTCGCCTCGGTGAGTGCCTCTGCTGGCCCCCAGCTCCTGGGGCTGCTACATCCCCTGGCCAGCAAGTCCCCACTGGCAGTGGGAGTTCTATAAGCCAGAAAGCCCCGTTCTTGGGGCTTATTTGAGTTCTGGAGAGGCTAACGTGTCAGTTTTGTAGAGGATCTGAGGTTTCAGAGATGGAATTTCATCCTTGTCATGAAAAAGATGTTTGTTTACTGTGGTCTCAAACACTTGAGCCCCTCTGCCAACAAATGAGGAACACAGGAGAATGTTCCTCAAGTGTTTGGGGATTCCTGTGCATGATGGAGGCAAAGGGAGGTGCATCCTTCAGGAAGTGAAGGATCTGGGGGTGTCATTCATGAAATCTTGGTGATGTGTGCATGGAATGTTCCTCAAGCTAATGCTTGAGAAGAAAACAGAGGTGTTGACAGGTTGGAGTCTTTAATTCGGCAGGGAGCTTTTGTGTGAGCAGCTTGGACCTGAGTGTTCCAAACCCAGCCCTTTACCAGGCCACATCCCCGGCCAGTGGTGGCACAAAAAGAAGAATATCTAGCACTGATCTGATGATTCTATTGAAAAGAGTTTCTGCTTTTCCAATTAGAAACTCCTAGGGAACTTTTTCCCCACCCAGTGCCCCTTTCCCTAATGCTAGAATGCCACCAACCTGAAGGCGATTTCCAAGCAGCTTCACTGGGGGGGGTCTTTGAGCTTGCAGAGGTGTACACCAGGCTTTTGCATGCCCTCAGGCTGGACCATATCTCTGCACTACCAAGAGCCTGAAGGAAATTCAGACCACCTGCTTGTGCTGTGACCTTGTGCTTTTGTGGGCCCTTTGATATCTACTGCCCTGTGCCATTCTGTTTTATCAATGCCAACAGATAACATCCTCTGCCATAAAATAACAGTATATACCACTTAGCTCAGAAGCGGGGGGACAGTGCCCTCGCCTTGAGGAGGCAGCCAGACCACTGAACTCTGCCAAGTGGTCAGGTCGGACCCAGAGTGTGTCCCTTGTAAAAGAAAGCCACATCCACAGTGGCCCTGGCAGGGGCATCTTTTCCCCGGTCTGTGCAAGGCTTCAGTGTACACATGGGTAAGGGCAGCCCCGACTATGTCAGACTACAGGCCATCTGTGTGCACATGATGATGTCCCCAGGCCACCCATAACCTCTGGGCTTTCTCTCTCCACTGTCCCCTTAGCTGCTCTTACCTACAAATGCACACGGGACCAGTGGACAGTGTATTGCAGGGTCATCCGAGAAAAGAACCTCTGCCAGGACATGCGGTGGTACCAGCGCTGCTGCCAGACATGCAGGGACTTCTATGCGAACAAGATGCGCCAGCCACTGCCGCCACCAAGTTCATGACAGGCGGCCAGTGGTCCCACGATGCTCCGACATGAGGTCTGAGTCCTGACGACATGGCTAGTTGAAAGCCCACCCACCTGAGAGCACACCAGTCCTGCGGCTGGGACCCCCAAAGCACACTACGGCTCACGCAGGAGGCTGTCCCAAGAACCCAATTGCTTAGAACCTGAGAGTGGACTTGACGTTTGCTTAGTGCTTTTATACTTAATATATTGTTAACAGCCACTGGATGGCTTTCTACGGTAAGGAAAAAATAGGCATGAGTCACAAAATAGCTGTAATTTCTAAGGTTCCACGTACCTCAAAGGGAACACCTCTGACAGAAATCGTCAAGAGAAACGTCACAGGCGCCCCTGTCTTGGCTTTCCTCTGACGTTTGAATTCCCAGTGCTTGATGTATCGGGGAGGGGGAGGATATCCAAAAACGGAGACGTTTTACTTTAAAGCAGGCTTTATTCTGAAAGCCCGTGACACCCTGGATGGAAGGAGGCTTCTCTGGAGAGGCCGGGCCGCTGAGGCCCCCTTGACACCACAAGGACCAGCACGTGGCTCCTCCACCCTGTCAAGGAACGTGCTCTCTAGATCGTGGCTTTTCCTTGGAGGTCTTGTCCCTGAGAGTCTGAGTCTGTGTGAACTAAAAAGGACGCTAGGGCTGTGTAGTTCTGCATACCACCTATGTGGGGGAGAATATTCCAGAAGGGCTTGGGTTTGGGGACGTATCTAGTTTTCAGATCTCTGTTGTCCCCCACACAGGGAAACAGAAGAGCCTCTCTTCAAGGTGCTGTGAGAGGAGGCACGTGCTAATTTTGGCCTTGGGATTGCTTCCTGGCATAGAGGTGAGCTCAGGGCAGCTTTGGGAGGGGTGGAGGGGCTCCCCCTCTGCTTCCGGGGACCTCTGCTCTAGCCAGTTCTTCATAAAGCTTTGCACCTTAGAGATGGCTTCCCATTAACCTTGGCCATCTATCTGAAGTTGATTCTTCTTAGAACCTCTGAAGACTCAGGCTCAGGCCTGGCGCTTCACCCTGGCACAGGGCAGGTTTCCTCCAGGACTGCTCAGCCTAGTGCCAGGATGGGTGGAGGAGTGGCCCCTGGCCAGGATGGCCACATACCTACCCAGCCTTCCCGTGGCCCAGACCTTGCAATGTTCGTCATTGTCATGCTGTCGTTGTTGACCCGTCTTAGTGGGGCAAGAATGACACTCAGAAAATCCGGAAGAAGGTATTTGCCTCCTACAGACACCTCACCCCTCAAAACAGAACTGTGCCCTCTCTGGAGCCCAGGGAGATGAAAAGAGTGTCCTCTGTGAAAGCATAGAAGATGGTAGGACCCTGCCCGCCCGGGAGCTGGGAGGAGGGGACCCGACATGCTGGGAGGTCTGGTCTGCTGACCAACTCGGTGGGCCTTTGATGGGTGCTTATATTCAAGGACTTTATCATGAGAAACCCACCCTCTCCTCCCTTATTTCAGAGGGGATCTTAGGCTAATCTCCATGGGATCATCTCCCCAAGTGCTTCTTGATTTACTGGTGCTGTGTTTATGTATCTGTGTTTGAGTTTTTGATGTCACAACTTTAGAGTCAGCTTATATCAGAAAGAAAAAGAAACACTCTGCCACCCAAGCCCGTCTTATGGGCTGTGTTTTGGTTTGTGATTTTTTACTGCCTCAGAGGCAGAGAAGTGGTAGGGATGGCAGGGAATCTATTCAGTTCCACTTGAATCTGTGAGAAGTGTTGAGAAAACTCCTTAGATGTTCTGTGGAAAGACCCCAGAGGGTACCAGGCTGGGGCAGCCCACCTGCAAGGTAACCTCCAGAGGCTGCCCAGGGCCTGTGCAGAACGCTGTCCTCCCTGCTCTGGCTTGGCCGCGAGCAGACTCCCCAGGCCCCTCAAAGTCTTGGGGAGCTAGGGCTCAGTTTTCCCCCAGCCCCAAATGGGCTGTACTTTACCACAGATGAACAGAAAGCTCTCAGCCTCAGGGGCTGAGGAGCAGAGTCAGGGCAGCAAGCTAAGGAAGCCGAGGCAGCCTTGCTTACTGTCTGCATGGGAACCATGGGCCCACCTGAGCTGGGCAAGCATGTGCACATGCCCAGAGGCGAGCCCTTTGCCTGTGCCTCTGAATCTCCCCCCTGGCCACCTTGACGGTATCAACTGGACGCCCCTGGCAAGGGCCCCACACCCTCAGAATGCAAATGACTGATTCAGTTATTGTTAAACATCCCTTTGGTTCCCCAAAGTTTGGGTCTTTCTGAGCTCTTTTAGCTCATGCTGGCACTGTCACTCTGAAATTCACCAGCCCGCCTTCTGTTCCCAGCACAAGCAATGATCAATTTCAGTGAAGCCATCATAGCACTCTTGCTCCACTTTGTACAGAAGACAATGAAACCCTGTCATTACAACAGTGATGTTTCTTTATGGTTAACAATACCCGTACTGTCACTCAAGTACTGTACCTTTTTGGTTGCACAAATGTGTTACTAACTACAGAGTCTCACAATCTTATGGTGCTATTTTCATTGGTGCAAATGAAACCCTCTCAGTTGACCATGGCTTGATATTATCAGAACACAGGGAAAGATCCTCAATGGCAGTAACATCATTGCTTTGTTCTCTTTTCTTCATTTCAGAGTCAAATGTATATATTTTCCATTAGCTAACTTACATTACGTACTGTACCCATGGTATTTTTGTTTTACTTTTTGGTGCTGGTTTGAAAGAAAAGAAAAAAAAAAGAACAGAAGACAAACATTGGACACCACTGTAAATGAAAAATTAAGCATTTCATTGGAAGTGAGTTGAATATGTTTAATAAAATGTTCTTCCATAACAATTTTAAGCTGTCTGTGAAGTAAAAGACAAAAACCAGTCCTCGAGGGCTGACAGAGGGAGGCTGTGTCCTCTCCTTCTTCAGTGGTCACACCACTTGCCTGGGACTTGGCTGCAAGAACTGCAGCCTGCCGACCACAGCTGTGGACAGTGTCAAAGGTCACTGGTAAATGCAGTTCTGGCGGGTGGCTGCATCTCCCCAAGTGAGTGCTAACAGATCATTCAGTTCTGGGTCTCATCCCTGTGTGGTTGCAAAACCCTGGGTGGGGACATGAAAGTGTGACAGCTGTACAGTGAGTCTGTGAGTCTGATACAGAGCAGCTACCTCACTGGTGGAGCTGCCCAGGCTCCATGGGGGTGCAGTGACCCCTCTGCAGGGGACCACTATCATGCCAGAATGGGTGCCTGCTCTCTACAACCTTGCATCTTCAAGCTTTAGACCCCATCCCAATCCTGCTGGCAGCCCAACAGCTTCCCCACTCCTGCAGGTGTGAGCCAGACCTGGCCCTTCCTACCTCCCAGTCTGGGGACACAGCAAGGGCACCACACCATCATAATGAGGACCACTGCAGCCATTTGGACCCCATCTGGGCCTGACATGGAGCAGGGATGTCACAGCTCCTGCTCTTGGAGGGGGTTGTCTCCTCCTGGTGTCAAGGGGAAAGAGCTCCCCACCCAAGAACTTGGAGGTTCATTAGACAGAGCGCCTCTTTTTAATGTTGGAGCAACACCCAGAAATTTCACAAAATAAAGACCATTTGTTTAATCGACGACTAACTGCCCATGGCCCCCTGGTTACCAAGAAACCTGTAGTTTGTGTTAATTCCCAAGAACCATCAGCCACCTGCCTCTGGGACCCATTAGAACCCTTTCCTCGCTCTGAGAGTTCTGATCTCTCTTCGGGTTAACTTCTAACAGCCCTGATGCTATGTGATTTCTTTATAAGCTGCTTGGATTCCAGTTTGTTAGATGAAATTGACAAGCAATCAATCAGCAAGTGTTGAGTGAGCTTCTATTAGGAACCAAGCACTTCCTGGAGCCACGGAGAACACAAATGGACAAAAGACCTGCTCTGGAGCCCACAGCCCCTCAGACAAGCCTGGAGTCCTGGACAACAGAGAATGAATGAGAGCTGCAGGTACTCCAAAAAAGAAAGGTCAGGACTTCCCTTGTGGGTCTGTTGATTGCCCTCTGGAAACAGGCTAGGAGGCTCGGCATTGGAATCCTTTACAGTGACGCTCGCCCTCTGAAAAGGGTTTTGGCAAAAGCCCCTATGTTTGTACTTCTACACAAATCTGCCTGCATCTATGTCCTCCTTCTCTGTCTGACAACTGACCCCATCCTCATGGAAGGCCAGCCCTCACACCTTTAATTCATCCCCCATTGCTTCTCTACACTCTGTCTCTATCTCCAAACTTTCATTAACTCTCCAGACCTCTCCCCTGGCTTTTGCCCCCTGCACTGCACTGACACTGTTCTTGACAGGTCACCAGTGACCTTCTGGGTATCATTTGCAGACATTTTAGGGTCCTATTCTCCACCTCTCAGCAGCCCTCTCCCTTGGGACATCCTCTTCTCCTGACTTCTCCTCGTCCTTCCTAGCTCCCCTTCCTCTGGCAGCTCTCTAGATGACAGAGCACTCCAGAGCTAAGCCCTACACCCGCTTCTCTCTATATACTTTCTCAAGTATATAGGCTTGAGAAAGTATACTCAAGCTCAAGGCTTGAGCCATACTCAAGGCTTTTAAAACCAGGTTCATTCTGTTATCTCCAAAATTAACCTCTTTAGTCCTGGCCCTCTCTCGACCTCCATATTCATACATGACCTCTCCATATGCACAGTCAATCCCACGGGAAGCCCTGGGACTGGGACAGCCCTTCAGAGTCATTCCAGATCTGAGATTCAGTGGGGCTGGCTCACCTCTCCTCCATGTGGTATCATCTGGGGTGGCTCCAAGGACAAGTAGAGGCTGGGATTATCAGAAGACTCACACACTTGCATATCTGGCAGCTGATACCAGCCTTTAGAACTTCAGCTAGGACACCTACAAGTGGCATCGCCAAGGGGCTGCTTAGCAACCCTGAAGTATGATGGCAGAGTTTCAGCGGCAAACACCCTGAGAGAGAGAGATGGGACACTCACGAGAACCGTGTCACCTCACATGAAAACTCAAAAGTTACACAGCATCACTTCCACCATCCTTACAAAGGCCCACTCAAGT